CAAGACGAACCATGTGAGCGGCCCTTGCACTTCCAACGACACAATAGGAGCGATTGGGCTGACCGCAGAGACTCATCAGGCCACAAAAGACAGGTCTGATGATTATTTGCTGCAAACACTTCAAAACTTTGACCATGTCACTGCTGCGAATGCTAGAGAGTCGAGCACCTTGCCATCCTTGGCAGACGGCAACACAAGGCGCACCTGCGTATGGGCGGCTACTCGCACTTGGGCCTGGATCGGTTGCGGTTTGTGGTAGCTTCTGTCGAGGAGCGCATGCAGCGCCCTTTGTCTCCGCCTCTAAACAAGCCAAACGAGCGACATGGTCAAGTGGAGAACAGCATCGACCAGACATCAGCAGCAACGGCATCCGTAGGGGGCGGCCATCAAGCCAGCCCATCCCCTGGTTTGTGGAAAGAAGAGATTACATTCACACGAGGCACAGATCCCCCTTTTACACACTGTCCTCCCTCCTACAGACTTGATGCCACAACATGGTGACCTCCAGCAGGAAGGCACGTCCTGTTTCCTAAAGAGCCTGTCAGCAAGCAAGGCATCCAGTTAAGCACGGGGCAGCGCCAACAGTCCTTGCAAGCACCAGAACCATCGGGGAATATCCACAAGCAGTAAAGGGACTTGGCTAGCTGAGGCGAATAGGGAGAAGCCCCCTGCTGGACATGGATGCATCGGCTGGCTCCATTACCCAGATGCTCAAGCACCACTTCAATAATGCTTGGACTTACTATCGAGATATACAAGGTACAGTGGGGCTCTGCTGGCAGCCATAACGTTGCAACTGAAGAATTTTAGAACAAAAAGCGTGTGCGCAAACGAAGCAGACTTACTCTGGATGACAATCACGTGGAAGTCAGTGTTGCGTGCGTTGAACTCGTCTGGTACCCCCAGAGTGACAAGCTGCTCCTCCTTTCCCCCCGAGAGCACCTTCAGCGCATCTTCCAGCAGGTCGCTGACTAACCTTTCTACCTGATGCTGCTTGAACTTGCGGACCCGCCGCATCCGCGTCTTGACCCCGAAGTAGGCTTGGCCAGCACCCTGCTGCAGCCGTTCTCCCACCACCCGCTCTGCCAGGATGCCAATGAGTGCAGGGTGGGGATCGGGGCTCCCGA